TTGAATTCAGAATAAAAAAACCTTTTAGAATCAGTGAAAAAATTATCAGGACCGTATTTAAAAAACAAAAGTTGATGATGGTTCCACGAATACGAAACGTCGCATGAAAAAATCGGTATCACCACATTGACCGTCATCAAAAGTTGCTATGAAAAAGTATTCTCAGTTTTGCTGTATCTCTAATAATAACGAAGAAAAAAAATAAAATAGAAATTCCAAAAATTCACTTTTTTCGATATAACTCAAAAACTAAAAATAATTTTCAAAATTTTCGAAGGCTCTTGATATGAGCCTCCGAATGCGCAACTTTTTCCCCATTTAACCGATTTCGTATGTCTTACCGTTTTCGAGATCCCCATGCTGTTCAACCGTATCTTGGACAGACTGTATTTGCACTTATTTCAATGGCACCCTACTGGGTGTCCCGAAATTACATAGAAAGATTTCAACCACGGATTCTAGAAACAAAAATAGTGATAAAAGTTTACATAAACATGGGTTCAAAAATGGCCTCCTAGAGGGTTATACCCATCTAAGGGGAGCCCGAGATGGTTTTATGTAAATATTTCCGGAACCCTCTATGATAAAATAACCAAATTTTGCACATGTACCCAACTTTTTATGACCGATTCGGAAGTATTAAGGAGCGTCGAAAATATGTGATGCCAGGTGCACTTGTTTATGCAATTTTCGGCACTTTGACCAGCAAATATATGTATCTCAACATTTTCACTCAAAAATGGTACTCTTGTTCAGTTTCGATAGCATTCACCATTCTCGGGATCAATCGATTCAGAAATTCTGTTGCGTCATGAATTTCGTGATGTTTTCTTTAATAGGGTACCGAATTTTCCAAAAAAATATGGTTTGATGGAAAATACCCCTTATTTTCAAGATCTACTTTGGATGTTTGATTAAAAATATGAGGGGTGCAATAAAAAGAATGGATTGAAAAATGATATGGTATGGAAAAGGTACTTTTTGTATTATGATACAGACTTTTATAATTGGTTTATCTCGAAAATGGCGGGTACTATCTAAACTAAACAAGAGTGACATTTTTGAGTTAAAATGATGATATTTTCATATTTCCTTTTCAAACTGCCAAAAATTGCATAAATAAAGAATTTGAGGAAAAAAGTGCCCCGAGCCCCACCTATTTTCCACGCCCTTGATCGAAGTTTCGGAAAATTCTCAACGTTTTTAAATTAGGGCATGTACAGGGTGATTCACCATAAATGTCCCCCATCTAGCTCAGTTATTTTTTAATCAATCGCAAAATTTGAGGCATCATTCAAAAAAAATTTTGATAATTTTTTTCTGCTACATCAGAGAATACAGGGTTCCCGGAACAAACGATCTACAGGGTACTAGTTGATTTTTTCGAATGATACACCCTGTATTTCATTGCATTTCTAGATTCTCCGTGAAGAGCTGATCTCATCGATGTATCACACTAGGAGTCTAGCGTGAATGATTACAGAGATATAGGGTGTTCAAAATCGAGATTTTTCAACTCAAGGATTTTTTTCAGTCGAAGCTATTCATTGAACCACCCTGTAGTGTTCCGATTAAATGTCAATAGATAGAAAATCAAAAGTTGTGATAGGGACATATGACTCGTTTTGACCAATAATGAATAGTTTGGACATGATGTTGAAAAATCTCGATTTTGAACACCCTATACCTCCGTAATTATTCCCGGTCTAGCATTCATGAGATCAGCTCTTCAGGGAGAATTCAAAAATGAAATGAAATACAGATCGTTTGTTCCGAGCACATTGTATTTTCTGATGTAGCGGAAAAAACTTATTGAAAAATCATTTCAAATAATCCCTTAAATTTTGCGATCATTTCAGAAATAACTGAGCTAGAGGGGAGGGGGGCATTTATGGTGGATCACCCTGTACAAAATTTGTTTTTTTTCATCACAAAAAGGTTCGGAAATATTTTCATAAAACCATCATCTCGGACTCTCCTCCAGGTGGCTATAAGCTCCCAGGGGACCATTTTTAGCCCCATTTTTATATGAAGTTTTTACTATTTTTGTTTCTTAAATTTGTGGTTGAAATCTTTCTATGTAATTTCGGGACACCCTGTATAAGCTTTCAAGCTACATTAGAAAACATTAAATTGTTTACAGTAGTTACAAAAGTATACACTAATTCCACAGGACTTTGCAAGTTAGTTAATTTATGAAATATTGTGAAAGTATGATGTAGAAAAGTTGTCACAGAATAACTTATACAGATTATAGTATGCTTTGCCAAATAGAATTATTTTTAACTTAGTCTTTAGAGCTTTAGTTCCTAGTTTCAATTGCAATGGTAATTTGTTCCATTTTTTTTAGTACGTTTTTTTGGACACATGTCCATCTCGGTATATCGGTCGTCAGTATGCTTATTGTTCAGGTGTGCTGGCTTTAAATAGGTCATAATTATTTTTATGAACATTGTTGCTTCTAGGATGTATACAGTGTGTCCCACTTACCATGCTCACCATGGGTATCTTTTTAACGGTGAGAGATACGAGGTCGGTTAAATGACACCAAATGTGGAGTTTGTCAAGGCCAACGATAATGTGAAAAAATATTTTGATAAAATCTATTCGTTTTTGTTTTATACGCAAAAAACAGATTCTGATCATTTTCATGTCTCCTCCGTAACTTCTTTATTTATGAAAATATTCAAATAGGAATTTCACATTCTCATGGCAGTTTTTCAAAGTGATTTCGAAAAAAATTTGAAATTTATACCAACTCTTCTAGAATTTGAGATATCAGCACCAACTTTAGTTTTTCAAATGTAGGTCATAGCTCACTATGACTTAGTTACAAATAACTTTTTTTTCTCTCAAAGATGATATATCGCAGTAATAGTTTTGTGTTGATAACAACGGAGTTATCGTCATTTATACAAAAACAAAAAATTATTTGGAAGCCGCCTTCTTGAATTTATAAATTTTAACAAAAAAATTATGATCTCCGACCTCAAAGATCCCCACTTACCAATTTTGAATAGAATCGGACCAAATCTTGTCCGCCATCTTGGAGCAGCCATTTTTTTTTAATTTCAACAAAAATTCCATAATGTATGGTCACCGAAATTATGAACACCTGCCAAATTTCAAGTTAATCGGAGTCATGGAATTTTTGTTGAAATTAAAAAAATTGGCTGCTTTAAGATGGCGGACAAGATTTGGTCCGATTCTATTCAAAATTGGTAAATGGGGATCTTTGAGGTCAGAGATCATGATTTTTTTGTTGAAATTCATAAATTCAAGATGGCGGCTTCCAAATAATTTTTTGTTTTTGTATAAATGATGATAACACCGTTGTTATCAACACAAAACTATTACTTTGACATTTCATTTGTGAGAGAAAAAAAAGTTATTTGTAACTAAGTCATAGTGAGCTATGACCTACATTTGAAAAACTTAAGTTGGTGCTGATATCTCAAATTCTAGAAGAGTTGGTATTTTTTTCGAAATCACTTTAAAAAACTGCCATGAGATTGTGAAATTCCTATTTGAATATCTTTATAAATAAAGAAGTTACGGAGGAGACATGAAAATGAACAAAATCTGTTTTTTGCGTATAAAACAAAAACGAATAGATTTTATCGAAATATTTTTTCACATTATAGTTGGCCTTGACAAACTCCACATTTGGTGTCATTTAACCGACCTCGTATCTCTCACCGTTAAAAAGATACCCATGGTGAGCATGGTAAGTGGGACACACTGTATACATATTGTAGTTGATATTTTTTTTTTCAATAAAAAATATGTTCGTAACTATCTCTGCGATTTAAATGAAATATATTTTTGATACATCTCTCTTGTAGAATTAGAACTCGTTGAGAGTGGACTGAGTTTTCCCAGAAGATTATTTCATAGCTAATTCGTGACTGTCTCATCAGACAATCCCATTTTCGATGTCCTTACAGAATATCTCACTTATATTCAAAGATAAAGATATCTCAATCAGAATTGTCATAGCACGTTTCATTTTTGAGATTCAGGACGAAATTGAAATTGTTGCATTTTGTAACCCCCCTGTATCTCAGCTATATTTCAACTTATCGAAAAAGTATAAACTGTCTAATGCATACATTTTATGCGTAGATTCCAGTGGCGTAGTCATTCATTAATTTCAAAAACAATCTTCAATGCAACCATCCTTCGCGAGCCAAGCTATTCAACAAAGTCGAAAAGAAACAGAGCCATTTTCGAATATTCATTACTAAGTATCACGCAGGATATAGGAAAAGAGACTTGGTACTGGTTGTCTAGTGCAAATGGAAACATCTCGTTAGGCCCAAATTTCGATCCACCCACTTTTCCATTTGCCTTCATTTCGATTCACCCTTACCTTACTTCACGCGCACATTTTAATTCAGCCACAATCTTCAAACACACACGAACGATGCCTTGCTACCATATCTGATCGATGTTGAAAAATATATTTTTTCTAAGAAGAAGGTTCATTTAGGCCGAGTTAGGTTAGATTGTTTAGAAAAAGTAGTATCCTTCCACGCGCTATTTTGTCGCTCGCTATTTTGTCTAGCACTGTTCAATAACAGAGCATATTTTCTCCTGACGTTATCTCCATATATGATTGTCAGAGAAATGGTAATTTGGAAATTAATCAACGACGAACAGTCTTCGAGAAGTTGATAATAAGGATATTCGTTCGAAATCAAGTTATTGTTGGAATGCGATCATTGCCATAGCAACAGTTTTTCCATAGCTGATTTCAGCCAAACTAAACACGATACAACTTGGCAAACACGCATTTCCTCACCATAGGATTTGGATTTTTGTTTACCCGTTACCATGACAACCGTTGCCATGGCATCATTTTTTCCACAACTGATTTCAGCTATACTAAACCCGATACAACTTGGCAACCACGCATTTCCTCACCACGGGATTTTGTTTTCTGTTTACTAGTAACCATGGCGATCGTTGCAATGGCAGCAGTTTTTTCATAACTGATTTCAGCTAAACGAAACTTGAGCCATTTGTGAGATTAGCGGTGGAAAAAAATACTCACCGACGATCGAGGGCAAATCCTCCATCACCCCGTCATCGCTGGCCCCGCAATTGATCAGATCCGAAGTCGATGCGGTCGCCTGACTGTCTCTGCTCTCCTGGCTGAGGTAGGTCGAGACTGTATCAAGACTCGGCCTACGACCAGACTTCGTGCTGCTGCTATCGGCGTCCAACAGCGTCCGATTGTCGCTGGTTTGAGAGGGAGCGCTACTAGTCGATCGGTGACCTGCGCAATAAGGAATACGCATGATTTTTTGTTTAATCGAAATTATATTCCTTCTTCCTTATAATAACACTGGGTGGATATCATTCATTAATCTCAAATTTGCTTGTGACTCTAACAAATTTCATTTAAATGAGGCTAAATATGGAGTCACAGGAAAACGGGTTAGTGGCCATCACTAATATTATGACGTCATAGTATTAGGCCGCACAGCCATAGACTAGCGCGACAGAATGACAAGATTCAGATTGAAAAAAAAAGAAGAAGAAGAGGTAGGAGAAGAAAACAGTTTTAAAGGCCAGAAATTTGAAATTTGAAAATGGAAAATAATAATGTTTATAAGAAATACTGCCTAGTGCCGCAATGCCTTTAATCAACAAAAGTATCGCCAGGAAAAATATTCCTTTCATTGCCAGTGGGATCGAGTGATGAAAATAAAGAGAAAAGAAAATTATGGTTGGAAGCCATAAGTAGAAATGATTTATCCGAGAAAACCAGAGGATTTGTTTGTGAAGACCATTTCGAAGTGAGTATACGTTCAAGTATGTCCTAGTGAAACCCGTGACTGATCTCTGCCATTATATATCAATGATTATGTTCCTCATGTTATTAGGAGAATAATATAATATGTGATTTCGTTTTCAGCTTGAAGAAGATATGGAAAACTATATGAGATATAAATTGATAGGTGGTAATATATATTTGAAACAATATGCAAAAAGAAGTCCTGTTTGATCCTTCTTATTGTAGATATTTGCTTATTATTCAGTTATTATTATTCAGAATATATCATTTAATTGAGATATTATAGAAACTTCAAGCTCAGATAATCATAACCTCACTTTCTCTTTCTCTCATGAATGTTTGACATGACAAATGAAAACAGCCACATCCAGTCGGAAATCATCGCTGCAGTTCGGCTGTTGGTCGGAAAGTTGCAAATATTATGATTTTCAATCAGAAGTTATTAATTCGGTGCTTAATAATGTTTTTCGGATGTATAATTCGACATTTATACATATGAGTAATGGAACAAAAATATATTCCAGTGTAAAATTTTCACACGCGTATACCCTATTATAATCTCTCTCAGACTGAATAACGATAGACATCGCGATTTATTTATTATTCATTGAATAGTATATTACACACCGAGGTGGGAAGTGAATCATTCCTTTCGTGAGATTAGTTAGTTAACCGAGACGCAAAGCGTCGAGGTTAGCTATAATTTCGAGACAGGAATGAAACTTCCTACCGAGCTTTGTATAGTATTTTATTTACAACTATCATATTTCTATCAAAATTAATAAATCTACGTTTCGTTCTGAACATACCTGAATTATTACATGAGTGAGGGCGGGAAGTAGAGGTGTGTAATGTGACACTTCCCATCCTTCAATAATAATAATAATAATAATAAATAAATTTTATTTCAAGGAATACTACAATATATAAACGTGATCACATAAAGTAGGATTAAATGAAACAATAGTCAACCAAAGAATATGATAGTCACTTGTAAGTTCTACAAATATTTCCGAGATTATTTGATTCGAAAGTTCATGAACTCTGTCTCATCATATGTTAACCAACAACTTAAAAATTGTTTTCTTGAATTTTGGTAATGATTTTATCGATTTGATGTCACTAGAGAGTTTGTTATAAAATCTAATACAAGAGTATAATGCACTGGACTCAGTTAATCGCAATCTGTGTGCTGGATATGTGTAGTTAGAGTGTCTGGTATCATGTTTCGTCTGAGATTCCATATTTGTAAATAATCGTTTATTTTTGAAAATGAATAATAGGCACTCTTGAATGAACATCGCATAAAAGGTGAGTAGTTTATTTTTTCTGAATAAACCTCTGCATGAATCTCCAGGTTTCAAGTTCCAGAGAATTCTGAGAATTCTCTTCTGGATTATGAAGATCGCGTTTGCGGCCCTGCTACTTCCATAGAATATGATACCATACCTCATGATTGACTCTACGTTTGCATGGTAAACCATCTTAAGTGTATGGTACTTGACATATTTAGCAATAATTCTTATACTATAACCAGACGAGTTCAATTTTCCACTGATATTATTGATGTGATTCATCCAACTCAATTTAGTATCAATGTGCATTCCTAGGAATTTCACGTATTTTGACATGCTCACATTTTGATTATCAATTTCAATATGTGTTGGAATATCAGATCTGGGATGATTGGTTGTGAGAAACAAAAAATTAGTTTTGCTTTTATTCAGAATTTGTTTGTTCATTGTAAACCACTCATTTGTTACTTTGAGAATATAATTGACATTAATTACCAAATCCGGAAACAGTTCACCACGGACCAATAAGTTTGTGTCATCTGCATAGTTGGTGAGACAACATTTGCTCTGATCGAGATCTTCTATCAGGTCGTTGATGTAAATTATAAAAAGTAGAGGGCCTATAATACTGCCTTGTGGAACACCAGTGTTCGAGATTTCATTAATATCTGATTTGACTGTTTTGTTGTCTTTTCTAATAACTACTCTTTGCTTTCTCTCCAACAAATATGACCTAAACCAACTAAGCGCAGGTCCTCTGACTCCATATTTGTCCAATTTGTATAGTTGTATATCATGATGTAGGCAGTCATACACCTTGGACAAGTCTAAAAAAGTTCCTAGGACAAGTTCTTTTACAATAACGTTAGTAATGACAACATTACATATATGGTTGTAAATAATAGTATATTGCACACCGAGGTGGGAAGTGATTCATTCCTGGCGTGAGATTAGTTAGTTAACCGAGACGCAAACCGCCGAGGTTAGCTATAATTTCGAGACAGGAATGAAACTTCCTACCGAGCTTTGTATACTATTTTATTTACAACCATCATATTTCGATCAAAATTAATAAATCTATGTTTCGTTCTGAACATACCTGAAATATTACATGAGTGAGGGCGGGAAGTAGAGGTGTGTAATGTGACACTTCCCAACCTCCAATGACGTTAGTAATGACCACATTACATATATGGTTGTAAATAATTAGTATATTACACACCGAGGTGGGAAGTGATTCATTCCTGGCGTGAGATTAGTTAGTTAACCGAGACGCAAACCGCCGAGGTTAGCTATAATTTCGAGACAGGAATGAAACTTCCTACCGAGATTTTTTTACTATTTCATTTACAACCATCATATTTCGATCAAAATTAATAAATCTATGTTTCGTTCTGAACATACCTGAAATATTACATGAGTGAGGGCGGGAAGTAGAGGTGTGTAATGTGACACTTCCCAACCTCCAATGACGTTAGTAATGACCACATTACATATATGGTTGTAAATAATTAGTATATTACACACCGAGGTGGGAAGTGATTCATTCCTGGCGTGAGATTAGTTAGTTAACCGAGACGCAAACCGCCGAGGTTAGCTATAATTTCGAGACAGGAATGAAACTTCCTACCGAGATTTGTTTACTATTTCATTTACAACCATCATATTTCGATCAAAATTAATAAATCTATGTTTCGTTCTGAACATACCTGAAATATTACATGAGTGAGGGCGGGAAGTAGAGGTGTGTAATGTGACACTTCCCAACCTCCAATGACGTTAGTAATGACCACATTACATATATGGTTGTAAATAATTAGTATATTACACACCGAGGTGGGAAGTGATTCATTCCTGGCGTGAGATTAGTTAGTTAACCGAGACGCAAACCGCCGAGGTTAGCTATAATTTCGAGACAGGAATGAAACTTCCTACCGAGATTTGTTTACTATTTCATTTACAACCATCATATTTCGATCAAAATTAATAAATCTATGTTTCGTTCTGAACATACCTGAAATATTACATGAGTGAGGGCGGGAAGTAGAGGTGTGTAATGTGACACTTCCCAACCTCCAATGACGTTAGTAATGACCACATTACATATATGGTTGTAAATAATTAGTATATTACACACCGAGGTGGGAAGTGATTCATTCCTGGCGTGAGATTAGTTAGTTAACCGAGACGCAAACCGCCGAGGTTAGCTATAATTTCGAGACAGGAATGAAACTTCCTACCGAGATTTGTATACTATTTCATTTACAACCATCATATTTCGATCAAAATTAATAAATCTATGTTTCGTTCTGAACATACCTGAAATATTACATGAGTGAGGGCGGGAAGTAGAGGTGTGTAATGTGATACTTCCCAACCTTCAATGGCGTTAGTAATGACAAAAGTACATATATGGTTGTAAATAATTAGTATATTACACACCCAGGTGGGAAGTGATTCATTCCTGGCGTGAGATTGGTTAGTGAAGTCGTATAACCTGTTTGTGAGAGATATAATTCCCATATCACTGATACGAATGATTCTCTTGGAAGTTCCAAGCTCCTCAAGATCAGAGTTCATACAAGTATACTTCTCCTATACATTTCAATTTTCATTTCAATACGGAACATATTGGTCAGTTATATTTTTATATCATAATACATCATATTATCCTATTCGATTTGAGAGGATTTTGATTTTTCATGCTCTCATTTTGGATAATCAACAGATATAATTCAATGTTCGACGTGGCAAATAGCCAGGACAGTAGTTGTTTTCTGTTGAATATTCAGAATGATATTATGTGCATATTTTCATATGGAGGAGAATGCAAATTCTCTACTTCAGAAGATTTTGTTTTCAAATTCTTATCGTGTGTGTTCAATAGATGTAATTCAATGTTCGTCATGGCATATAGCCAGGAAAGTAGTTGTTTTCTGTTGAATAAACCGAGAAAGACAATATTTTCATTACATGGAGAATGCGAATTGTCAATGTATTTCTTTATATATATTATATCGATTTTTTTTGTGTTCATAAAAATATCTCAGAATATTCCTTTTCAATAGGAGCAGATTCGTTATCGAAACGTCCAATGCTAAGTGAAAATTCGATATTTTTTCTATATGCCTTTATTTCTCTTCTTCAAACCTTTTTCAATACAAATTGTCAATGACAAGCTAG